TTTTTGTTTCTGCTTCCTTATACCACCTTTTCAGCGTTTGGATATTTAAATAAAATTACTATTTGTTTAACATATCTACATATGCGCGTGAAAACTCTAGAACGAGGCTATGGAAATTTGATTATTTATCAATTTCGAGTTAAATTAGTATGTATGTCATACATATACATATGTATGTATGTACTTATCAATATTTTTAGGATATTTTAAGAATGAAGAGGCCATGGTTACTCATCTGTGTATTCGATTTTATGGAAATCCTTATTTGCAAACAAAGTATTTTGACTCTTACCGTAATCTGCTAAATTGCCGTAATCTAGCCTTCAATGTTGAGTACTTGTGCATTGTCTGCTAAGCATCAGATGTGCAACACATTTGCCTCTTTTGGAAATTTGCGCAGGTAAATTCCATATGGCGGGAAATCTTGACACGAAGGAATCTGAAATCAGCAAATTGAAGCATTTGCAGGTAAACTATAGACCTATTAGCTAGCTTACCGGAAAGGTATAAATATACGCTAAAACTAAAGCAGCACTCTTAGTTTGGTCACATCAGTCGCTCTTTCCCTATCAAGAAAGCAGGATAAAAAAAAATATATATATGTATATCAGTCTGACAAACGGTCAACAGCAGCCACTGCTGGCATGTAGTGTCTACTAAGTAAATAAACGATTTCAGTGAACTTGCATTAAGAAATCAACGCGAACGCAGCAATAAACCATTTAAAATTAAAATTACAAAGCATTTTATAACTTTTGTAAAATACGGAGGATATTTAATTGTGCTAAAGAGCGGAAGTTTAAAGTGCTGCCACTCTTATGTGCGCTGGCGCCCTCTAGCGCGTAATTAGGCAGCACCAAAAACAGAGCTGCGTCTTCATTTATCGTCGTCTTGGCAGCACTGTTAGCGTGGCTTTTGAATTAAAAGAAAAAAATTCGTAACATTTTAAACGCTTGTTATGGAAGACGATTTTCAAATCGAATTCATGTCGCTGCCACTGGAAGATTTGCAGGAACATTATGGAAAACTGTTTGAGCGCTATCGCCAAATGCGCGATGATGCTGAGGCAGACACCCAGCGTATCTACGATTTGAAGCGTAATCTGGAAACTGCATATGCCGCCGAAACGTATCTATCGCAAGAAATTGAAGAGTTGATGCAAACGCTGGCATCGATCGAAAAGGAGAACAAAGGGCGATCAAAGGCACAAATTGAATTGGAAGATTTACGCCGGCAGCATCACACATTAACCGCAGACTATACCACACTGCAGCAGGACTTTGCAGCGGTGCAGGCAGAAAATGCTGAATTGCGAAAACAATTGGAAACTGCAAAATCGGCAAAAAGGCTGAGTTCCTCTTCGCTGATTGGCGCGGGTACGGAAGAGCTCACAAAGCAAATAGCAACTTTGGAAGGCGAAAATTTTGCTTTGATGCAAAAGTTGGAAGATTTTCAAGAGAATATTGTCAAGCAAACTATGACTTTGGCGGATCGAGAGGTGAGTGTAACTTGTGCGAAATTTAAAAAAATGTCAATAAATATAATGTATTTTTATACCACAGAGTAACATAGAGATTTTACGCGACCAAGTGAACTGCTTGGAGGAGAATTTGCGCTCAAAGCGTGAAGACTTGGATGAAAAGTCTGGCTTACTGGAGAGCACGCAAGAACAGCTGGCGGACGCTAATGCACGTTTAGCACTGCTAGAGACAAAACCAGAGGGAGTGGGTAAGCATACAGAGAGTGCATTCCGTTTCATGACAAGCAAAATTTAGTATCAACTTCTTTTCAAAAGACCGCAAGGGTAACTCACTTTTTGCCGAGGTGGACGACCAACGGCAGGCCATGAAAAAACTACTAGCTACACAAAAGAAAAGTTACATGGACATGAAGAAAATTTTCCATGATAGTCAATCGGAAATTAGGCGCTTAAAGCGGGAAAATATTGCAATGCATACTGAGCTGAGGGAGTGTAGTACCATATTCTGTGCGGCTGATCGTACATATCAAAGTAAATACTTTTTTTTTTAATATAATAAACAAATGTAAATTTATATTTATACACTACAGATAAGCTGAACGAACGCATACGCCAGTTGCTCAAGCAAATTGAGGAATTAGAGAAGCAATTGCATGTGACACAGGATCGGCTACGTGACTTAGCCGCTGATAAAGGCGTTGCGTGGCTTGATTCGATGCTGAGTTTTTGCAAGTACGCATTACCTGTTAGAGTTGTAAATTGTGTTACTCGTTTAAGTAGCGCGGCTTGGAAAATCTTTAGTTATAGTCGGCTATATTGTGCAGTAGAGATGGGTGTTGCGCTTTGTTTTTAGATGCATAATGATATACCTAGTTAAAAACACTTCACCTCCATCGTTTATATTCCATCATTTTTGTACATTGTATGTTTATTTCAGTTCCTTTATAAATTTGTTTATTGTATGTTTATTTAAGCTCCTTTATAAATTTGTTGGCTTTATGTGTTTATGGTTAAGGCTTGTGTGTGCTTCACACAGAAATTTTAACTTTCACCACCCATTTATTTAGACAAGAAACTGATGATCTGAAGACACAACTTCATGGCGTGCGGATTCAGAAAGCAAGTTTGGAAGAGCAGCTACGCAACGTGCAACAGGAGATGACACGGTATGTAGCTTTAATGTATTAAAAAAAAAAAAACAATTTAGTTTGGTAAAAAGTTAATAACTGTACTTATGCATCGAAATTAAATAGATGGCGCTTCGAAGCATTGAAAACGCGTTGTGTACTGCTCGACAGAGAGAATATTTTAAATGAGAATGGCATTAAATTCAAGGCTATCCATGCCATGGAGTTCAACATCAGTCAGAAAGAACAGGAAATCGCACGCCCACGTATTGTACACGCCTCACCCGGAACACCGAAAGTCATGACACCCACAGCCGCTACAACAACAACAGCACCCACAGACAGAAAACCTAGTTTTGTTGGTACTCCATTGACATCGACTCCAACTGAAGGCAATGCAACGCTAATCAACACACCACCGGGTATTATTTCGAATGCGGTAAAACAGGAGTTTGATGTTAAAAACCCAGTTGAAAAGACCCCGTTATTTGAGAAAATAAAGCTTGAATGTAGAGAAAACAATGAAATGTCTCAAGAGCAGAATGATTCAAACATATCTTTGGCAGCTGGAAGTGTTACCAAAAAGTCACCTTTGCAAGAGCTTGCCATAGAAAGCAATTCCTTGGCAAATGAATTAAGAATGCTACCGCCGACCCATGACAAGAAGATACCGCCTAGCCTGGATGTGCAACCCGGCCGTTCGATTCTGTCAAAGAAACGCGACGATTTAGCTGCCAAAGATAATAGCGAAAAGATTGTACAATTCAGTGCTCAGGGTCCGACAGTTCACGACATCAGTGCCAATGTCAGCATAGATCAGGACCCTTCGTCGAATGATACCGTTAATAAGGAAGTTAAGCATAAGGTCTACATAAAGCAGGTGCGCACAAAATCTAATATTATAGTGCGCCGTGTTATAGTGCCATCTAATAAGCGTGAACCAACATAATTTTTTTTAACGTTTTAGTACAATAAAACTTCTTTTTTTAATTTATTGCACACTTATATTTAACGTGTAATCAACTCGAAAAAAATGTATGACGAGTTTTTGCATAAGTCAATTCATAGGCCTTACCTTCAATTAATTAATGGCGATTTCGTTTCTACAAAAAATGTTGCCTTCTCAACGCCCTCTTCTTAGTGTTTGTGCGTAAAAAGCAAAGAGAAGGTTGCATTTTTTGGTAGAAAGGAAATCGGCATAAACTATTTTTTTCTTCATGATTATATAGTTTTGTATTAATTGCGTTTCCCATTCTGATTTTTAAGTTAGCTCTATCTAGGTGTGCGATATGAAGTAAAAGCATGATGAACAAGTTAATAAAATTAGATTCAAATGTTTTGTTTAATTTATTAGTAAGTACCTACAATAATAAGTTCCATGAATATTTTAATTCATTAAGTTTTGCTCGTATTATTCTTAATGCCAATGGATATCACAAAATGTTCTTAAACGCTAATTATGTACGTAGGCGATATAACGTAAACTGCCCACCTAATAAACTAAGGATATTTTGTGATAATCATTACACTTATACAGAATGCAAAAAATAAAACATGAATGCAAATGATCGAGGTGAAGCATAATAAACTTAAATATAGGTATTTAACATTAAGATATCTTTTTTACTTTTATACGATCTGTGCATGTAAATAAAAACCAAATTAATAACTGAATATGAATTATTAAAATACATGTCTGATTTGTTTTTAATAAGGATAGCGCTATAAGGTTTAACTCTCTAGAACCTAATTTGCTTTTTGTTGCGATATTTTTTGTCTTCGTTAAGCGCGTGTCAGACGTGGCAAAATTTCCCACTTTTCCACGCAATTCGCTGTCAAATTGACAAAGATAAATTTTATTTCAAAAAGCCCTTTCTGTCACACTTCGGAAATCAGTTTCAGAAACTAAAGTTGCATGGCGTGACTGCAACTGAAATAGCGCAAATCGATTTCAGAAGTATTATTGAATCATGTTTCTGCTGCAAGTGCAGTCAAAGAAATCCAATGTTGCCATCTGACGGTGATCGCGAGTTTTGTGAGAAATAATAACGAACAACTTAAAAAAATATCAGAAATGCTTTAGTTAGTTATTTTCCGGAATTGAATTGTTTAGTTATAAATAATAAATTAATCTTAAAATTAAGAATAAAGTTAATTATAAGCATTTTAGTATCGAGAAAGATTGCCAGAAGTTCATTCGCTGTGTTAACAGACAAAAAGCGATTTCAGAAATGTTCCCTGCAATTTACCTTTCGGAAATAAAAAACCTCTTTCGAAAGACACTTTACATGCAATGTGTGACTGCTCATGCAACTTCTTTCTGAAAATTTTCAATTTGACAGCCTTTCATCCGAATAAGTCGGTAGCAAGGTCGCTTCTGATGGGAGACCTTTCGAAATCAATGCTGTCTGTCAGGGGGGGGGGGGGTCTGTATATGTGGAAACGGCCTCCCTGTGAATGTTGTTATTGTAGCAGCAGTGCTCAACCCCCCAAGTTCTGTCATGTATAGTCGTCTTCATCCTCCGACTCTGTAAGCCTGAGGCCGAGACAGCGGGCAGCGTTGATAGGCGCAGTCCAGAGCGCTTCTGATATCAGGGTCGTGGGTTTGGAGCATGTGAAGAGGTGCTGGGTGTCGTGGGGACCTTGCCCACATGCGGGGCAGATGTTTGTCACTTGTGAACTCAACCGGGAGAGGTAACTGTTGTGTCGGTGACACCACCCCGAACGGAGTTGTGCTAGGGTGCACCTGGTCTCTCTCGGCAGTTCTGATTCATCTAAATCTATGGGCGGCGGTCGACCACCTAAGACGATGTTGTCATTGCGCGTGATGAAGCTCGTTCTGACTGCATCGCTGTGTAGGCTGTTGAGCGCCGCTCTGTATATGTCTGCCTTCCAGTCATGTAGGTGTTGTCTCACGTGTCGGGGGGTTGCTTCGTTCTGAAACAAGACGTTGTTGGGGTGGTTCCCTCGGTGACAACCCACGAGGTATTAGATCGACAGCATGGTTTTGTGTTCTTTCACCGCCATCATCTGGCTTTCTTCATGGAGGTGATGCTCGGACGACATGAGATGACAACCTGTAGCCGTACGTAGAGCTGCGTTCTGGCAGGTTTGCAGATTCCTCCACTGGGTGTCGCTTGTCCCCGCCGCCCACACTGGTGCCGCGTAGTTTGCCACTGACCGGCCAATTGACTTGCAATTACCGAGCAGAGTTTCTTTATCGGCTCCCCAGGTGCTGCCTTCTAGCGATTTGAGGACTTTGTTCCTGGCTCGGAGTTTGTTACATGTGGTTCTGGCATGAGCGGAGAAGGAGAAGAGGCTATCGACCATAACTCCTAGGATTTTAGGGTGATTAGTCGTGGTATTATGGCGCCATCGACGAAGACGTCCAGTTCTAGCCCCACATCCTTGGTCCAGGTTGTAAAGAGTGTGGCGGTGGATTTTACGGCGGAGATTTGGAGGCTCCTTGCAGTGAAGAAATTGGAAAGATCGGTGAGATAGTCGGTTAATTGATCGCAAAGTCTGTCGATGTTTGGGCCAGTTGCCATTATAGTGCAATCATCTGCGTAGCTTAGCAGTGTCGGGGAGAGTATGCCACCTTGAGGGACCCCC